TTTTTTTATTCGGTAATAGGTAAGCGCTTGACCATAATTCGCCTGATGGAAAGCAATATTATGGTCTACGATGGAGCGCGCTTACCTAATAAAAACCGGTTCACTCTTGCTTTGAAGACCGCTAGATTGTAGTGCTCGGGGAACAAGGGCTCAGGCAAGGAATTCCACAGTTTGGCAGTCCGCACGATGAAGCTGGACGCGAATCGCTTAGTGCGAGTCTTTGGAACTGCCACCGTGAATCGATGTCGCCTTGCCGTTTCCCTGCTCGTCCGGTAGTAGAAAGGGGCGGGAGGAATTAGCTCTTGTAATTCCTCTGCGCACTCACCGAAATGCAACCGATAGAACACCGAAAGACTGGCAACTTTGCGTCGATGTTCCAGGCTTTGTAACTTTGCCCGGCAAAGCGCGTCATTTCCAATGAGCTTTATCGCTCGTTTCTCAATTGCCTCCAACGCCTCAAGTTGGTACTTAGCCGATCCATCCCAGAGGTGCGAACAATACTCCATGCACGACCGAACTTGTGCTTGATATAATGTAAGCAACTGTTCCGGCTTGAAGTATCGTCGCACCTTCGAGAGGATACCCAACTTCTTGGCTGCTAATTGGGCCTTGAACTCAATGTATGAGCCAAAGTTGAGGGTTGGTGACAATGTAATACCGAGTAGCTCGAGATGGTCGCTGATCGGTACGGTTACATCCCGGAAAGTAGGGGCCAGATTAAATGGCGTCTTTTTTGCGGTGAAAAGACACGCCTGGGTTTTCGCAGCATTGAACCCAATTAAATTGGCATCGCCCCAATCGGAGACAGCCAAAAGAGAAAGGTTCAAGCGCTCGACCATGGCCTCCCTATGGGACTGGATTTCTGTCGCACTGGCTCGCGCGGTGGATATATAGCTCTCTACAACTGTGCTGTCGTCTGCATACCCAAAGATACCGGGTCTTAGCAGATCGTTAATGTGCAGCAGAAACAGCGTTGCAGAGAGTACCGACCCCTGGGGGACACCGGCATTGATAGCCCAAAGATCCGAGGAGCAACCATCCACTACAACTCGAATAGACCTATCCCTCAGAAAGTCCGAAATCCATGCACAAAGCCCAGTAGGCAGGCCGTATGAGGATAACTTGCTAATAAGACCGTCGTGCCAGACCCTGTCGAAGGCTTTGGAAATATCGAGAGAAACTGCTAGAGCTTCCCCGTACTTCTCGATGGCTTCACTCCATATGTGCGTGGCGCACGCTAGAAGGTCACCCGTGGACCGATTCCGGCGAAAGCCGTATTGTCGGTCGTTTAGGAGGTCGTTAGATTCTAGGTACGCCAGGAGCCTGTGGTTCAAAATACGTTCCATGCTCTTAGAGAGTATGGACGTAATTGAAATAGGCCGGTAGTTAGCAGGGTCAGCACGACTACCCTTCTTGGGTACAGGCTGTACGTTACCAAGCTTCCAAGAACTCGGCACTTTACCAGTTGCAAGGGACAGCTGAAAGAGGCGCGTCAAGACAGGAGTCAACTCAGGCGCACAAGACCTCAGAACAATGGCTGGAATACCATCGGGACCACTAGCTTTATGCACGTCCAGATTGCGCAGCGTTTTTCGTACCTCAGATTGGCGAATTTTGAACTCTGACATTTGAGTCAAACAGCCAGGAGGTGAAAGAGGCGACGCGCTACCAGCATCGAGGCGCGAATACTCCGCGAAAAGAGAAGCAAATAAATTCGCTTTCTCGTCAGCGGTATGGGCTAGCGATCCGTCAGGCTTCAGCAGTGGAGGCAGTGAGGGGCGACAAAAGTTCCCTTCGATCGACTTTGCCAGGGACCAGAACGCTTTACTTCCCGCGGGATACGAAGCGAGCTTGTGCCCTACACGGCTTATGTGATCGAAGCGAGCCCGCTGTAGAGCCTTCTTGCATGACTTGGCAGCCTTGTTAAATGCTTTCTTCTTCTGGCTTGCATCCCTAGCTTTGCATTGTCGAGCATCAGCCCAGGCTAGGTATGCCTCATGCTTCAGCATTTCAGCGCGAGCACATTGAGGTCCAAACCAGGGGCGAGCTTTGCCGAATTGAGATACATCGGAGTATGGAATAAAGTACTCCATACCCAGACGCAGCACATCTGTCACAGCATGTGCGCAGGTCGAAGGGTCGCCAGAAGAAAAACAGACTGGCTGCCAAGGATAGGATGCAAAGAATGACCGCATCCCATCCCAATCTGCTGACTTGTATCGCCACATCCGACGACTACCTCTAGGGCTTGGGTCAGATGGGGAATAGACGGATACAGATTTCACCAGACAATGGTCGGATTTACCAAGCGGTGACGATATCGTCACTGAGTACCGGTCTGGATCAGTTGTCAGCAGAAGGTCTAAGCAGTAAGGTGTGTGCGACTCAGCGTCAAGTACCCGAGTAGCGCCTTGAACCAGCTGAGTGAGATTTAACGCCAAAGCGAGCTTACGCGTCTCTCTACCAGCGTGGTTGGTGTCTCGGTATGGGAACAGCCACTCCTGATGGTGTCCGTTAAAGTCCCCCAAGAGCACTAGTTGGGCCGATGGGTACTTCTGTTGAGCCGAATCAGCCGCCTCACTGAGGTATTCTGTGAGCCTAGTTGCCTCCTGATCACCGCTGTGCGAACGGTAGACACAGCCATAGAGAATTTTCTCAATGCCTGTGTCCACCAGCGCCCAAAGCACAGAAAATCTGCGGTTCTCAAGATTACGGAGGCGCTGACAGCAAATGTCGTCACGGACGTACAAGCACACCCCCGCCCGAGCCTTAAAGTTATGCTCAAGGCTGTAACCCGGGTACAGCAAATACGCCGTGTCAGATGGACATTTGATCTGCGTCTCTGTCAGCACCATAAGAGCGGGTCTTTCGGTCTCGAGGTGATGATGGACCGCGTCGAGATTGGAGTGCAAGCCTCGGATGTTTGAGAGGTGCACTTTAAGTGAAAGGGCGTGCAACCGCTGTTTAACCCTTTTTTTCTTATTATGCGACATATCATATTAGCGAAGAGCGAAATTCGGTGGTAGATGGCAGTGAGATGAATTTTTTGCGTAGCTAACCCTAAAGACATACAGAATACAGGCACCGAAGGGAGCTAGTCCGGAGGTTGCGGGGACGCCCGAGCCCCCCCAGGGATGTCCATCGGGCCCTTTCATCCGGTCGCCAACCGGCACGATGGCGCATCCCCGGGATTTTTCGCTAGTTGGCGGGACAGCCTTTCGTGAGGGGCTGGCTCACTAGTCGGGTCCCCTACTACCTGCGGTCGGCCAGCGGTGCACCGTGCCTCGGATCCCGCTAGACTCCGGGACTAGATACGAGGTGTCTCTGCATCGATGTCTTTAGAAACCGGTCATTGTCACGAACAAAAAGCAATTATCTCGACCCATCCTCCCAAACGGTGTCACTGGACTACGCGCCGGAACGCGGCTGGGCCGCTTTGCGGCACGACTCAGTCACAGTGGGTGGTCACTAGCCCCGGCTTAAGCCTACCACCAGTATGTTGTTGCCTGGTTTGCACCACCCAGGGATCACGTGTGGGGAAACGAACTAAGGGTAGACTCCCACGGACGAAGGCAACTCGATCCCCAAAATAATTTTTATTATTTTAAAGCATGTAACTGCTTTATGTTTAAATCTAAAGAAAATATAACAAGAAAAAAATCCACGCGGATCAGGCAGCAGACGGGACTCGAACCCGTACCCTTCGCAAAAAAATTTCTAGTTATATTTTCTTTAGATTTAAACATCAAGCAGTTACATGCTTTAAAAAAAAAATATAACTATAAATGCTATTTCTTCTTTCAAATGTACTTGTACAAGTATGTATGTAATGTACTTGTAAAAGTATTCATTTGACATTGTGGTTTACCTATAATGCGAAGAGATGAGCAGCCTTGCAGCTTAAGAATGGCTAGAGGAATTTCGACGCGGTCCGTTAGGGCCGCGGTAGCATAATTGGTCAGTGCATTCGCCCGGATTGCGAAGGTTGCGGGTTCGAGTCCCGTCTGCTGCCTAATAAATATTAATTATTAATCATATTCAATTAATTAATATTTTTTTAATTTGATGTCTTTCTCCACCAAGCGCGCGGCGCGAACAAAGCGACGCGCAGAGTGTGAACACGCATTGCCGCTCGCGCTGCCGGTCCTTTGACTTCCGCACAAAAAACCGCTCTTTTGGGGAGCGCCGGGCAGCGCGAGTGGCAATGGCAGTGGCATGACGAGTATCGTGTTTACATACTCGTCATGCCCACTTTCCTGCTCACTTCCCTCCTTACTCGCGCTGCATGTAAACGAGGTATTACGTTTTATTTAGCCGAGTTTTATTTAAGAGTAAATTTTACTGTCATTGATAAAATCTTGTCACTTACCAATGTTAATGTTCTATTTCTGAGAGATTTTAGAGAAAATTATGAATTTTATTAAATTGAATATTATTAATTTCTTGATTTCAATACCGCGGAACTTACTATTTAGGGTCCATTTTCACTAGCTATTGAATAACTAAAAAAATATATAAAACATATCCGCGTAAGTTTCGTAGCAACTATATTAACCATTTTTCCAAATATCTTATGTTACCAATACCTAGAACACAAAATTATACTCTCTGTGTGGAAATGAGCCCAATAACTGTTGAAATACGAAACTTATAAAGTTTTAATTTCCTCCTGTAATATTTAGTTTAGTGTAGGGCGCAACCTCTGCATGTGGTATATACGCGGATTTGTACTATCCCCGACGAGGTTTATGATGTGTATAGCGATATTTTCCATTCTTAATGACAAATTGAATCAAATTTAATGTTTACGGTATCTACGGTGCCTGAAAATGAAATCGAAAGAGGTAAAAATTTTATAATAACGCCCCAGTTATGATGCGGCATACACTAATCTCCAAAGCAACTAAAATGTGTAATATGATTTGACGTGTTTAATATTAAACCGTTTTAATATGTTATAATCCGGTAGACCTGCTAAATTTTATGTAATTACTTTGCAGTATGTCACAGAGAAAATGGGCGGCGCCGAGGGTACGAAATTGGATTTGGACTTCGTGGAGATGGAAAGAGTGAGTTATCTCAAACAATTTTATTTATTCTAAGATTTTTTCATGAAATAATATAGATTACATTGTAAATTACAAAGCATCTTTATAAATTAGTTTATTTATTTTGTTTTATTTGAATACTTATTTGTAAGGAAAATATAACCAATAAGAAGTAATCAAAATTTACAACAAAGTATACTCAAATAGGTATAAGAAGAATTATGTATATATTTCACTAAGTCTTATACAGTCTTATCTTTCTGCTAGGATTCAGAAAATAGTTATAAATGAAGCTGAGTCTACAGGAGCACCCATTTCTATGGGCGTGCCCCAGGGTTCCATATTGGGCCCATTGCTTTTCCTTATTTATATCAATGACCATCCTCACTTTACAAGAGATCTGTGTGAGACAGTGCTATTTGCTGATGATTCCTCTTTAGTGTTTAAAACTAGAAGAAGAAATGATTGTTATGACGAAGCAAATCGTGCTCTCTCTGAAGTTCTTCATTGGTTTACGGTAAATAATTTAAAACTTAACTCTAGTAAAACAAAATGCGTTAAGTTTACTCTGCCTAATGTGAGGCAGGTTAATACTAGTATAAAAATAAATGAACAGCCTGTACAGTTAGTGGATTCTACAAAGTTTCTGGGTATTACTTTAGACTCTCGTCTGCAATGGGATCCTCATATTGATGCCTTGTCAGGTAGACGGAGCTCTGCAACTTTCGCTGTTAAAAAAATAAGACTCTTAACTGATGTGGAAACGGCAAGATTAGTTTACTTTGGTTCCTTTCATAGTGTTATGTCATATGGCCTTTTGTTGTGGGGCTCAGTCGCTAACATCGAAAGTATTTTCATACTGCAAAAGAGAGCTGTTCGCGCTATATACAATTTAAAGGCAAGAGAATCCCTTAGAGAAAATTTTAAAGAAATTAATATTTTAACACTGGCGCCGCAATACATATATGAAAATTTAATATATGTAAGAAAGAACTATGATGCATTTGCAAAAAAAAGTCAAACCCATAACTTTAATACGAGATTTAAGAACAAGCTTGCCGTTCCATGTTACAGACTCCAAAAATCAAGAGGTTCATTTCTGGGTTGTAGTATTGCATTGTTTAATAAAGTTCCCCTAGATCTGATTGAGTTTCCACTGACTAAATTTAAATCTCAGATCAAAAATACTCTTATGAATAAGGGCTATTATAAAGTTGATGATTATCTAAATGATCGTAATGCATGGACATAGTGTTTCTTATAATTTGTTATTTGATGGGTATTACTCATTTTTCATAACAGTAATATTGTACCTATGTAATGCCGCTTCCTATATACTAAATATAATGTTAACTATAAAATTTATTGTGACTATATATTTATATTCTAAATGATGTAATGGAAGGTGACTTCAGACGTATCTCTGAAGTCATTGTTCAACTTGATGACTCTGTATATAACAATACAGGGAGAAAAAAACAGCCCTTTCTGAGTTTCTTGCCGGTTCTTCTCAGTACAAGGTCTCCCGCCTTAGTTTTGCGAACCGATGACGTAGCTTCTTGACCTTCACAAGTGCTTGTAACAGCCTAGACTGAATAAATGACATTTCATTTCATTATGTTACTTGCAGTAAAAATATTTTTTTATTTATATAATATTATTATCTCTAATCTTGCCGACTTGGGTAAAACTGCAGTTCAACTTTTTTTGCGAACAATTAGTGGGCTCTGGTACGGTGACGACGCGGCGGCGCTCCAAAGATGCTAGTGTGGGGGGTCTCTTAAGCCCATCCGTAATGAAAAAGGAACATTCTGACTACTTGGTTATGGCCCTAACTTCTACATCTGATATTTAATTTCTTCAGTAACTGTTATTTTCAACTGAAGTGTGGGATCCATAATGTTGAATAGGGATGATGACAGGGTAAAGTAAATGAAATTCTTTTAAGATCAAAAAATAATGAACCTTTATTGTCAATCAACCAAAAAACCAAAAAGATAAAGCGCGTAGGTATAGGTTTTGGGAATGGAGGCTCGTGACGTCACTTTTTAGTAAAAATGTACGAAAACGTGTTGTCATGCGATATTTCAAATCAATATGTCTCTGTAATATTTTGAATTTGTGAAAAATAAAAAATATGTGTCCAATACATTTTGATAATCTTATCTGGTAGACGAATAATAAAAGTTAGTCATCATCCCTATTGCCGGGCTTGTATTTGCTCTAACTGTAAAGTCCGTTTCTCTTTCAGAAAACAGACGTAACATGCGAACTAGTGGAAGAGTTACAAACAAAGACAAAGGAATTCCTCCAACCGAATCCAACAGCGCGGGCCAAGATGGCGGCCGTCAAGGGTATCAGCAAGCTCAGCGGGCAGGCCAAAAGCAACACTTACCCACAGCCCGAAGGTGTGCTGGGTGACTGCATGCTCCTCTATGGCAGGAAGCTAGGCGAAGATTCTATATTTTGTAAGTAAAACATATTCTATACACAGCAGTCCTCGTACTTACGGCATGTTAGGTTCTCGAAATACGCGACGTAAATCGAAACGACGTAAGTCGAGACATCCCCACGAACGCCGGCTCCACGGGCATTGACCTCGCGACAAGTGAATTCTCCTATGCCGGAAATCGAAACAATTGACGTATCCTTGAGGAATAGTGTCAAAACATTGTTCGACGTAACTTGAAACGACGTAAATCGAAACGACATAAGTCGAGGACTGGCTGTATATTGTTTTATACTTTCCTGGTCACTAACATTATAGTAATTTTAGACGACCTCCGTGGCCGAGTGCTTTGTACGCCGGGTTTCATGGTGTCGCCCTACTCGATAGGTCCTGGGTTCGAAACCCCGGTGAGGGCAGATGTTTGTGTGATGAATACGAGCATTTGTACTCCAGTCACGGATCTTTAATATGTATATCCGGACTAATATTATAAATGCGAAAGTAACTCTGTCTGTCTGTCTGTCTGTTACTCTTTCACGCCAAAACTACTGAACGGATTTGAATGAAATTTGGTATACAGATGGTCTAGACCCTGAGAAAGGACATAGGCTACTTTTTATTGCGAAAAGGGGGTTGTAAGGGGTTAAAAGGGGGGGTGAACAGTTGTATGGGATTGGGAACTACGAAGCCAAACTCTCTACACCGAAGCGAAGCGAGGGCGGCCCGCTAGTATCTATATAAATTTACTCATATGTACAGTGTATATTTTATTGTATCCGTTACCCTAGTATACCATTACACAAGCCTACAGTGCTTACTTTGGGGATAGGTTAATTGGTGTGGTTCAAAACAAAAAAATCTGTTAATAGCGGGATCGCTACCATGTACCTTGGTTTTTGTGAATCTTCGATATTTCGGCACTGTTGCAAGCTCCATGGTCACGGCGTAACTGAAGTAATTGCGGGTAGGGTGTTATTGGCAGACATATCGGTCTACCCTCCGACGAAGTCTTTTATTGAGCTTGATACCCGTACCACTGTTTACTTTTTCACTATTTACTCGCACCTGTTCTCGACACACAACGTCACATTATATAATCGACACTTTTGATATTTACGGTTTTCGCACATGCAGATTATTTTTTGTGATTTCTCTACAACAATAGAAAGCGTTTTTAATACACAGAAATACCTACATAAATATCAATAAGATTATATAGCCCTCTATAAATTCTATTTTTTTATTGTAATTTTTAACGCATTTTCTCTATATTTTTCATGATAATTCTCTTTCCGCTTACAGCACAATGCCTCATCGAGATGGGCGAAGCGTTGAAACAGATGGCGGACGTGAAATACTCGCTGGACGACAACATCAAACAGAGCTTCCTCGAGCCGCTGCATCATCTCCAGACCAAAGATTTGAAAGAGGTTATGGTATGTAAGATTAACTTAAGATTTTTCTGAAAAGACCTCTGAATCATTCGAGTACCAACATTTTAATGTGTAGGTTGATTTACTGGTTAAACATAAAGCAACAAAGATTTTTCTGACAAGATCTCTGAATCATTGGAGTACCAACATTTTGATGTGTAGGTTGATTTACTGATTAAACATAAAGCAACATTGATGGGGCCCGGAAGGGAGTAGCAGTAGCGGTATCTTACCAATCAAAACGGATTTTTGTAGGGGGGAGGTGGCTGCGCACCGGCGCTATTCTGCATACTTACATAAAACACTACGACACGAAAACAGAATGACCATTATGTGTCAAATTTTGCACACATACTTCGCTCCTGGCCGCGTCAGCGTTGCTCTATGTAGATAAAGTAACCAAAAGTCATCTTATATCTTGGAAAGTATATAACAAATATTTTATTAGGTGACGGAGATAAAATACAATTCACCGCCCCTTTCTTCTTACCGTGGCTGTAGTAGAAGCGACTAAGAGATATCGTAGATCCCTCTTTCTCTACGTCGATTTTGGTCCCTTGGCTAGAGTCTACGTGTGCCTCTACATATTCCGCTCCAGTGACGTTGGGATAATTCGACTTTTTGTACTTCTAAGTCGGGCAGCAGATGACGCGCAGAAGCAATTCATTCTCAATTCTAGCCTACCACACTGTTCACTATATACTATTTTTGAGGAATTTAATCACAGTTTGTTATTAAATTCCTCGAAAACTGACAATGCAGGGATCTTTCAAATTCAAATTCAAATTCAAACTCATTTATTCAGTCTAGGCTGTTACAAGCTCTTGTGAAAGTCAAACGCTACGCCATCGGTTCGTAAATCTACGGCGGGAGACCTTGTACTGAGAAGAACCGGCAAGAAACTCAGCAAGGGCTATTTTTTTCTCCCTGTTTTGTTTCACACAGTGTCGTCAATTGAAAGATGACATCAAAAATTGAATACATGTGTTGATGTCAACTTCCATCACATTAATATTATTAATTAACAAAAGTTAAGTATAACTAGGTACTATTTTTAAATTTAGAAGTGGCGATTAAACAATTTTCAACCAAATTAGCAAAGTAAAAAGACAGTCTATTATGTTAAGCCCAAGGTGACTTATCATTTATGAAATCTTTTACAGTATAGTAACCTTTCTTAAGGAGACATGTTTTTATACACACTTTAAACTTATTAAAAGGTAAATTAATTATTTCTTTTGGTATTTTATTATAGTAACATATACCTTGACCCACAAATGAACCAAGAACCTTTTGGAGTCTCAATGGTGGCAATTTGAGTTTATCTTTATTTCTGGTATTGAAATTATGTACATCATCGCGCCTCGTATATAAATTTATGTTCTGACGCACGCTTTTGCTTTTGCTCACGCATATCTCGAAGCAACTGGTTGATCAGCTTGAGCAGCAGGATTCCAGATATTCCAAGTCAATGCGTTTTCTTTGCTGGAATTTCTGCTCACTATTCATTCACAGGGCTATCAGGTTGTTGTGAGAGCCTCACTGGGCTCATCGGATTACTGCTTTCTAGCTTGTCGATCACCTTCCAGCGTCGGTCAAACGCCGAAATCTGGCACTATGGGTCAGAGGCCCCAGCACGAATTTTGACAGCTTCGTAATCGTATTGTCATCGTCAATTTTTGTATGGTAAAAGTTAGTTTGTTCTTACGTCCGATTGGGACGCTGCTTAGTTTTCATATAAACTGTGACAATGCGATACCATTATGGAGCTGTCAAAATTCGTGCTTGGGCCTCAGCAGATTGGGACGCTAAGCGCAACAATTTCAGAGGACGTGGCGTGCTGGCCTACATTGTAACCGATATACTGTGACCACTATTCTAACGCAAAGAAAGAGATTCGGTGATCATTTCTTTGTCACACTACCCGCAAATGAACTATACCCGGTAGCCTCTAAAAAAAGTGTGATGAAGTACTTTGCATGCCGGCCAATTGAGAATCGTTGTTGTGGCAGGTAAAACTGCCGCATCAGCTATCTTCGTATCTGGACACCACAGTCACTTAACATCAGGTGGGGTGGAGTCTTTTGTCGGACTTTATTATAAAAAAAACGTAACAATAACCTTACTAAACCTGTATTTTATATTAATAAAGAAAAAAGAAACAAATAATGGTTATTATTAAATTTAAACGTTGTGAGTGGTGTCAAAGTTGCTTTTCCTAGAGCAAAACTAGAAATATATAACACTCCATGAAAATAAGGCGTGTTGTGGTTGTGTTCTTGTGGTACATGTGAAACAAGCCTTAGTAACAAGTTCATCCACCTATAGCTGTTCACTGTATCTAGGAGCTGTATTATAAAATTTACATAAGTTCGTTTAACAATGATGAAATGAGATGTGATAAGATAAACATACCCAGTTTAAACTATTTAATTTGAGTAACTGTAACAGATGGTACGTGTATTTGGCAAAATACAAAGATTTTGCCAGAAACATATACTTATATTAGCACACACAATTACTTATATTTCTGTTTTTCAAATAAAAATATTCTGACGATCGCCTTTCAAAATGAGTACACAATTAATGTGTACACTTATCAAAATAATAGTTACCTATTGTGTGGATTGCCAAAATCCCTATATTTATTTTTCCCTATACCATCTTTATTTCATTGAATTGTTCATTTACAGCATCACCGAAAGAAACTACAAGGACGTAGGTTGGATTTCGACTGCAAACGACGTAGACAAGCTAAAGGTAATTATCAAAATCTCTATTCCTATGACTTCATTTCTTTATTTAGATCTATTGAGTTGCACTTTTGAGTGTGTTAATTTTGCTGTTTCTTATTTTTCGGAAACCAGGCCCCGGTAGGGTCAGCCCTTACATGAGTCCGAGCAATACGCCAAGACAGGGTATGTGGGGTACAAATGGAAATTTAATAAGAACCAATGCTAGTTGTACGCAGAATGTTATATTATCATCGTAGGAAGCTAACACACTGCTATTAGGCTTGAACACTTGTATGACTTTTTGTCAGATGACACGTTAATCGATCGAAAGCCAACCAACAAATGCAATAAATATTATTTCACTCTGAGACAGTACTGTCATCGACTCCCGAGCGTCCGGCAAAAAGTCGGCCAATTAAAGCCTACGTATTTATTTATTTTTTATTTCATGAAACATGCCCTTTAAAAGTGGAATGATTTCTTTCATGTTCGCTCCTGTCCTGCGCCGCCTGTCCTTACCATGTACGCACGTTTCACGCATCTGACTATGTTTTGGCGTTTGGTCTGTATACTTTTTTATTTTGTTTTTATTTTACCCCATTTCTCTATTTTGTTTGTCTCTCATGGTATGTTTTCTTTTGGACATTTGCGTTGGTTGTATCGAATGGCGTGGCGATTGCTCGCGCGTATATCAGGCTCTCACATTCCAGACGACGAGATCAGACAGGCGGAGGACAAGTTTGCTGAGTCGTTGCAGCTCGCCCAAATTGGCATGTTCAACCTTTTGGATAATGACGTGAGTAATATGTTTTTTATTTTATTTTTTCTCTAAGTATTCAATTGCTATTTTACTAAGTTCATGCAAGACATACTGATCGACTTCCTTTCACTAATGCCAATGAAAAGAAGCTCTATTATGTAGTTCGCATCCGTTCGGAGCTGTACGCAGTATAAGTCACAAACAGTATGCAAACATCTCATTTTGTTATAGTCTTTCGAAGACTGACTGCCAAATTTGTCGTCGAAGCAATAAAATATTTTATACTACTTTTTCTGTGCTTGTACTTGTAAACTTTTCGACCAAACACGTTTTGGGTCATTCGGCCGCTAAAGTGCGTATGCCAGCAAGCGTCTATGCACGGCTTCCTACACTATTTCGCTGTATTGTATGGACTTACTTTCGATCGCCATCGATCAGTGTGTCTTGACCCTAATTTTACTCGTCTTAGGTACCGGGTCATATTCAGCCGTTCAAAGAGCGTTCGCCCGGATAGCGAAAGAGACGAGTTGTTTTTCTACTCAACATTGTTGGTGAACTAAATTATAATCGAATATCTATTCCGTAGGTAGAGCAAGTCGCCCAACTTAGTTTCTTCGCGGAAGGTCTGTTGGAGTATCACCAACAATGTACGGAGATCCTCAAAGGCCTCGTATCCACACTCATGGAGAAGTAAGAAGGCATTATGATTTGTTTAAAGCTTTGTAAATTAATTATGCATTAACAATAAATCGGAATAAGTAATTCAATATTATTAGGGATTTATTAAAATTATAACTAAAATGCATTATGAATTCCAAAATCCGTTTAACAAGTTCAAACCAAGAAAGTTACATAACAGAAATTGCATAAAGTAAAAATTTACGTCACTTAGTGCGGCCGTAGGCATCGTAAAGTATGAAGGGACTTATTTTTTAAACCTTAGAAAATTCCTAGTGTATGCCTCGCTATTGGGAAAGGTGACAAGGTTATGAGGGACTAGATCCTTCTGCCCAACTACTAAGGCCACGGAGCAAATACAGAGAAGAGATGTTGTAAGAGTATAGGATATTTTACCAAGAAATCAAGTGAAACTACTAAAAGAGGTGCAGGCAGCGTAAGGGGACGCCAACAGCACCATTATCAACTGACTAGCTGCTCGCTTTTCTTTACTCGATGCTAGAGGATCGCCCACAAGTATATCAGTTAAACTGACTGATTTTTTCATAAACTACAATTTTACTAAGTATTCAGTAATTTTATATTTATTTACTGATTCATAAGTTGTGACAGTTCAAAGAGGTAGACTTATCCATAAATCGCGGAAATTTACAATAATATATTTTTTATTTATCTTAAACGATTTTCTGACCTCTCCGAGCAGCTGCTGCTGACATAACTCAATCTAGATTGAGAAACTTGGCAACTTTGTCAATAAAAATTAAATTGCAGACTTGGATAACTTAGTTTAAGATTTCGCCTATAGAAAGACTAGAAAAGTAAAAATTTATTAGTGTTTTCATTATATCCTTTGCCTTTATTCGTATGGGTTTGAATTACAGTTAGGAAGCGCCCCAAAAATTTCGCCCAGGGCGCTGGTAGTATACTAAAGCCGTTCCTGACAGCAGCTCCTCTCTGTATTTGCTCCGTGAGTTTTACTAAAAACTCTAGGATGTTTTTACCCCGCCTGCCGTCCGTGGCAATGTGGGTTCCTTGTTGGGAATCGAACACACCGCCGTCGGCATAAAAGGAAGCTTGTCAAGCATCAGAAGCGAATCGGTTTCTACTATTATAAAATTTAGGTTTAAGGAGCCCGAATCTGGAACTCACTCTCTTTCTCCGAAACGAAATTTCGGTAAAGAACGAATTTTAAACGAAAGTTTTGAATAAAAGTTTTACATAAAGTTCGGAATCACAAAAAAAAATCGTGAACGAAACGAATGAGTCATGTTTGTAAGTTCTTTTTATATCTCCACTTTTTACATAACGTTTTTTACTTGGAAACAATTTTACTTTACAAAAAATGACATTGAAAGAACCGTCTTTGAGAGTGTAAGCCGACTAATTTGTTGAGTTGATGCAATCGATTGTATGTCGACCTAAATTTGTCGTTTAATACTTTGAAGTATTGAAATACAATAAATAATATTAATTTGGTTTATTTGTTCATTTGCACTTGCTAAAAAAATTCCCTCGAGCTAAGCAGCCTTGATTAAAAATACTCTAGCAAGCATTTTAGGATTAATTAAAACAAACATCCCAAAACGAAAATGAATACTTTTCGTTTCGTCAATTTGAGGTTAAAATTTCGAACAATTATCTGTCAAATTCAACTTTGCTTTCAAAAGTTTTGTAAATTAGAGTAGGCTTGGAGAATTTAACTGACGAACTATTTTCGGACGAACAAATCTTCGAAATGAAATGAAACAGAGTAAGGAACGTGCGAAATTTCTGCGAAAAGGACAATGGCGAACTCCCATACAAATTTTTGTTGAAAATATTTTTTGCATCTATAAATGAATTGCATGTTAAATTATAGAGTTTAGATTCTCGATTTGATTCGTCATATTTCTTTTATTATAGGAAGTCTGGATTTATAGATATTCTACTTTGAAGTTTTGGAGGTTATGTCATACCAAGTAATACAAAAACGAATTATAAAAGCATTTTCAAGAGTATTTTTATATCAAAATATAAAATACGTGGAACGGAGCTAAAGAAGTATACCGGTCCCGTAGAGTAGTGACGGAAAAAAATGTTTATAAAAGGATTTCTAATAGTGTACTAATGGGATATTAATCAAATATGAAACACTTTTATACACTTTTTATTCCACATATTTGATCACGATATTATTATCGTAGATAATAGATACAATGAAATAAAATCCACAGTATGGGACAGAATCGTGTCCAAAATCTTCCAAAATATCAGATTCGGAAGTCTTAGGCAACAACAGTCGCAGGGAAACATTTCGAAAGTCCAAATGCAGTCCAAATCACATAAAAAAACAAATCTCAGAAAAAACACAATAACTACGCCGATTTAAATCTTGGCAATACGCATGCACAGCACAAGCAACGATAATGATAACAATAACAACAACAATTCGATGACAAGCATGACAGTGACAGTTATAGTTTTTTGCGTTAGAATTGGCGCCATACTCTTTTTGTATTGTGGAGATTATTTACTATGGTTTCGGTATAATATTGAAAAATAATGTTTCCCAATATTTTTAATAGATAATTAAATACAGTTTAAGTGTAATGTGATGCAAAACATACGAACAACATATTTAAAGTTGATTTCATTACTAAAATCACTTAAAATAAATGGCTCAAAAACCATGATGCCAAGCCACAATAAAAATAAAAAATAGTCAATTGTGTTTCCCTTTTTTAAGTTTTTAATTACAGACTTAGACAACCCTCCTCAATTGTTTAATAAATCTTTTGAGATTATTTTATTAACATTAAATATTTCGCCATTGTGCTTTCGTTTTTCGTTGAAATAGAATAGGCATGGCCTGGCCCAATTTGCTTCAACCCATATTAAAAGTACCAAACCGATACGCTTCTGACATGTCACAACACAAGTCGAGTCTTTTTTTTCTGTCGTTACAAACCGATCGTCGTTCTTAGGAAAGACGAGGCGGTGAACCGTCCCAAGCTGGAGTTCGTGCCGAAGACGCTCGCGGACCTCGAGGGCATCCACGACCTGAACAATGGTAGGCGGTACGGTTCCACGCAGAGCCTCTCCCGCCTCCCCCGATCCCGGATCCCCCCTTCGTCTTCCGTCGGAGACCTTTCCACAGACCCCTTTAAAGCTTGGGAAGCCCCCTCCCCTCATAAACCTCCCACACACCGCCCTACAAACCCTTCACCCAATAATGGACCAGTGGATTTACTCGGCGACTTTCGTGCCTTCAATAAACCCGCTAACGGGCCAACAGCCTTCAATAGACCTGCGCCCGGGTTCAAACCTCACCCGGCGCCGAGAAACGTCAACGGTAGCAGGGACCCTTGGACAGGTGACTTTTGGGTTTTATTTGCTGGTTTTCTTTTATTTTGTTAGTGAATTGCACATTTGTCAATTTATATATCAATCCGATACGAGATTTTGAACATCAAATAGAGCGGGATTTCGAAACGTTTGGTTTATTAGTAACTTATTTTTTTTGAGTTTTACATTATTGTAAGATCGTATATTTTTGGTTATATACCTGTCTAGATGGGGGTGTTGTAAACAAAGCATCATGATTTCTATAATGGTCAATAAGGTCCTTAATTGTATGCAATATTTAATAGCGAGAGGTACTTTAACTTTTTTGTTCATATTTGACTTGATACTGAGCACAGTAGGGTATTTGACAAGTTAGAAAAAACGATCTTACATTATTGACTATCGTTTATGGTGTTTATAAAAAGATAGATAGATATTCTTCTGTTGTGTATTTCCGTAAAAAAACTAATTCAATAATTCCATTTTAAGGTTGCCGCGAAAACGTTTCTCTGGATATTATGGTATCTTACTGGTATGTGACGTCACACAACTATTATAAACGTCAAACGATGGAATGTAATGTCACTTCTACTAACGTTTAACGTCATTTTAGTCTTCGTCAATTCCAGGTGTTTTCGGTCACGTGATAATGGATTGGAATTTTCATACTGTCAAATAACCTGTTGCAGCCTAGGGTTATTAAAACTATAATATTGTTACTTTTTCTTTGGATTGTAATATTGTAGACAGTGGTAATAAAATTTATCACAGCTACCTACTTATTGCACTTGCACAGAAACCACTTATCAAAGTTAAATAACGTTTAATTATTAAACATAAAAAATCATTACTTTGCACTTTTGCGCTGTCGCATTACTATTCCAATAGTCACACTTTTCATTTTAGCTAAATTTCTTCCATGGCTCTATTCAAGTACAATGTTATAGAAACTTCACATGATGTAATAAAGCAAATTTGCAATTTCAATTGCGTGATTCTGAATTCTAGACAGGTATATAAACAATTATGATCTACTAATTGTAACAGTCAATGTGCAACTGCAATACGAACACAATGTTTTATCACTTCACGGTTTCATGAGAGGCACATCGCACGCTGCACGGTGCTTTACTTCGGTGACGGTTGGTGGTGGATGAAACACAAATAAACACTATCACAAACACTTCATTGTATTTGCAACTCTTCTATCTGTTAATAGGGTTCAAACTACATCACCATAATCATCGCAGTCACGTCAGGGTTTGACAACACGTTTCCTTCAGTTTCTTTTGTAAATAAAATAATGCGTTCTAAATTCTAAGTTACTAACTTTTTATTTCCGCCTTTCCTTACGGTCAAGGTGCATAGGTCGGTAGTTTTTTTTTTAGTTGAAGCTTTTTTATGTTGTTGCTAATGAGTATTCGATATTTTTACGCACTAAAACGGCGGTGTGGTGCAAAATGACAGATTCTTTTTCAGGTCGCCGAATTATCCTATCCCTCTCCTCTCCTCCATTCCCATTTCCAATAGAATAGACTTAAGATTCATTATAAAATCCATATGATAAAATGCAAAAAAAGCTAAATCTTAGTTTGTTGTGATATCTCTTTCTTTTTTAGGTAAAAAAATATTGGATTGTTTACCTTTGCTAACCTCATGCCAAACTTAGTATTTTATCAATGGATTTGCTTCAAAGATGATATGTGTTTTTGTCAATATTTCAATGTACTCGAAATAAATGAATTAGGATACGGAATTTTGATGGTAGCTGATTTGTACTAGATAACAAGTAAATTTGGATTAAAGTCGGAATATTGGTTTCAACGAAACAGTTATCGTAATGAAATATCAAGTAGACTTGGAATTCCTCAAAATTTGCTAGATAAATACAAAAAAAAAACGCTTTATGATTATAAATCAAAACAACTGGGATCCTCCCTAAGCTTATTTATCCGTTCGTGATTGGATCTAGTTTTTTTAAAAATAAAGTTACAACATAACATAATGTTTATTACCTAGACTACCGATAGATTGATTAGAAATATCTACATTATCATGGTTACATGTTTACCATCAAAATTACCGTAATGCCTGTCAAAAATTTTCTATAAAAACTTCGAGTTGTGACTTTCTCATTTGTTTGAACGAGTAGTACTCTACTTTTTGATGTTTCTATCTTTCTCTGAAGATGTTGTGCTAACTCAGAAGTGACAGGAAAATGACATGCACATTCTTTATGTTTATACCTATATACACTTTTATTGACTATATAAATTAAGATATCAGTTAATATGAATTGAGTAGGAGTTTTTTGGCTCGAATTGTATGGAGAGGAGTCAGGACCGGTTTAATAATTTTTCTATTTGTTGTTTACGTAAATTTGAGATTTTTACGTTATTAAAACCTTATCAAGAAAGCTGCCTCCGTATGGACACTATAATGTTTGATGACAAACAAATTGAGAAATTAAACAACAACGACATTGTGGTACACTGTGATATTTGCCTGGATGCGGCGTAGAAGGCGGTTCGAACACCGGCTCCCCGGATCACAAGCCGCCATCGCACCTCGAACTATTCCCCGGCTCGGGAGGCGCGCAGCGGTCGAACAACGGTAACACATGACTACACAACACATACACTAGGGCTCAATTTATACCGGGGCAAAATGGCATGGATGCAAATTTTTGCAACCAAATTATGCATAGCATAATGAACTTTATGTCAATTGTTTAACATACGCGCATGTAACATATGGTCGCGCGTCTTACGCAGAATCCTCGTGCATTCTCGAAAATTCCCCTAGTTCTTGGCTCGTATTAAGTTTGAATGTTATACAATTGACATAATATTCACTATACTATGTAAAATTTCGTTGCAATTCGCTTTCATTCTATTCCGCGGCGGTATAAGTTAGGCCTAAAACCACAGAGTAAGGATGTTGTCTTCATACTGTATGCTTAAACCGATTATACTAAGCTAAGCAATCGAGCGAAGCTTACGAGAGTAACGGGCAATCGTAAATAAGCTACAGTGCATTTCAAACTTAATGGCAGCTGTAAAATTAGCGCAAGTCGCGGCGCAGTAAACAGAATGTATGCTGATTATAACCGTTGGTAGAGGCTGGTTCGCTGTTTAATATAAATATCTTGGTTTTTAATAATAATGTGTTATATTTAGTAGAGCTTAAAAAAGTACAACTAAAAACGAACAGAAAATCAAATTATGAAATTATAAAAATATGACGCTGTCATAAAAACTACGAAAAAGTCTTTAACACTGATGAAGGCGCGGGTGGGATATCACCGAACTGAAACCTGCGGTTAGTTGAGATTGCTGCGAACTTCACTGCAACCATTAAGTTTGTAATACACTAACATCCGGTTTCTGAAACGCATGTCAAATATTGAATTAGTTGACAGACTGTCATAATTAACTATTTGTTGAGCAACTGTGGGTTTCTGAAAAGATATTTACCGAAAAATTAACGAATCTACTGTTAAGGCAGGATTTACTTATTAGTCTGGCCACCCTAGCTAAAACCAGTCACTTTCATTCGATCATTCATGTTTTGTTTCTGTCTAACGCATAGCTTTGTCTCTATCTTTTGACAACTTTTAGTGACTTTTATTTAAAAGTCTGAAAATTAAAAGCGATTGTGTGTACCGAAAACATTGAAATTTATTTTCATTTGTAAAGTTTTTACATAATATGTCACGAAAAAACTATACGGAGCGAGAAAAGAGGGAGCTTTTAACAATAGTGGATAAGTAAGTACCTAATAGGTACAAATCAGTTGTTCAAATCAAGCTTTCTAATCTATACAAAGAAACCGATCTGCTTTTGGCATTTAAAATTTGTAAATATATTGATAATATATATTTCAATGTAGGTACAAAGCAATAATAGAAAATAAGTCTACCAATGCAGTGACGGTGTAAAAAAAACGTGACTTGGAAAAAAATTGAAGAATTTAGAAATAAAAGTTAAAGAATTGGAATTTACTTCTAAAGCAAATAAAAAGTAAAATAATTATAGTGTAAATCTGATATGAACTACAATATAAAGATGTTTGTTTGTTTGTTTGAACGCGTTAACATCAGGAACTGCTGAACTGAATTGAAATATTCTTTTTATGTTGGGTTAGCCATAATTCTAGGAAGCCTTTAGTGTACAATAATTGTTCGTTTTAAGTTCCAGGTGTGTCAGTTTTCCCATTAGTTGATGGAAAACAGATTTTGAATAGCGATCCTTAAATTCTTCACCATTGTAATGAATTACAGGATTTATTCGTTTCCGGAACTGGCGAGTTGGTGCCAGATCTTCCTCGTCACTAGATAGGGATATATCGTCAACAGATAAATCTGACAACATTTTTTACTACCACTACAACAATCCTCTGACCAAAATATCAGTAAAATTTCTTTTGACAGTCTGTTAATTGATCAATTTTCACCAATTACTTATTAAAACACAACAAAACGTTAACATGCAGTTAACATACAAAAAAGCTTTCCGGAAACCAAAAACTACCGCAATCGGCCATTAATTCGAGATTTGACATTTGCAACAACAAATCATTGACAAACTGTCACTTGGCTCATTGAGAAACCCAAAGTGCATTTAAATAGAGATTAACAATTTGTTACGTAATTTTTTCGATGACATGCGTTTCAGAAACCGGGTGTAAATCTTATACAATGTGTGTCAGAGGTCGGTACTTGTCTCTTTTGTACACATCAGAATGTTGGCCTACTGTATGAATGATTCCTTATACTGTGTAATATTTAGATGCAAAACCATGTTTCAGATCGAAAAGTAGCTTTTGCACCCCCAGTTAAACGGTGAAATTAGAAGTAGGCATTTTAGCCAAATTAATGTCTTCATCCTGGATTCCAAGTGCGAAGATATTGAGCGTGAACCCATTCTTTTTTTTTTATTATTTCTTCGTTCATATTTTTTTTATAGATATATACGACATATTTTTCCATCTTTGCTTTTTGTAACGATTGCGTGGTAAAGAAAACGCTCCATTAGCACGTTTCTGTGAATGTGGTATCTACGTGTGTATAGTGCGATTAAAACTTAATGGCGGCTATGAAGTTGGTCTATTCTCGGGGCCTAATTTTTCGTATTTCGCGACCACTATTGTATCATAATAGTTGAGAATGAGATTTCTTACATGAAACTTACATTTATTGAGCTTTGAAGGGGATAAAAACAAAGTTATTTAAGACAACAAGCCTTTGACTTTAACGCCGCGACTATTATCTAACTATGCTAGTTGAAAAATAGTTTACTGACGAACATAACCATTACATAATGATTTTAACCACGTGTGTAGTAGGATATCAGTTATCTTCGCATATGGAATCCACCACTACACTTGGCATCGGTACGAGTAGTGTCATTAGCTAAACCCTATAAAAAAATCAAGAAATCAGTATGGTATTAGAACATAGTCGTAGTATTATGTGGTAACTGAAAAATAGCTTTTTTGACAATTTCGTTTACGAAATATTATTATTCTCCTAGTAATACATATAATAATATATACAGTTTAAATGTTTGAATTATAGTTTTATAAAAAAATATAGGTGTATTATTAAACAAGCTTAATTTAGTAGGGCAAAATAAATGGTATTAGTTGTCAGTGATGTATACTTAGATAAGCATTAAAGATATATATATATATATATATATACATATAAATATTTTCACCCACATATTCCACATTTACACATACTTACACATACAAATCAGACACGTAAAGTAGTACTTCAGATCTTATCTGTTTTTTTTTTGTGTGGTTCAACTCCTTTTTGAGTTTTGGGTTGAGATAGTTGGTCTAGCTTTTTTGTTTGGATATTTTTTGGCTCATCTTTACAGAATGCTCATTAGCATCACAGTTAATTCGCATGTAATTTTATGTCAAATTAGTGTTTAAAATGTTTACGACTTAAAGAAGAGGAAAGCTAAGAGATTTTTCATAAATTAATCTTTGGTAAATATAATTTACATACTATTTGGCGTCTTATTATACCTACGTCAAAAATTAAGTAGATATGTATTTAATTTCATGTCTTTATCTATTGATTAATATTATCGCTTTGCTTCTTCATTAGTCGAGTCTTTCAACATTTTCCCGTAAATGTTTGTTCTTTGCTATTTTACGACAGCTTTGCTCATTAGAGCGAGATAGGTTGAGTCCGACAACCTGCTCTTTGAAATTGGTCGTCTATGTACTCATTGTGCTACCTCTCTCACTAGACGTTATAATATATAACAAAGACTAATAGAAGGACGGAAAAATTTCGAAGGACGTACATACATATATAGGGGTAATCTCCTTATCTAACTACATAAGGGGTAACCTCCTTATCTAAGTTCAATTATGAGCTTTCATATATTAGGTCATATTCATTTGTCACTCATAAGCTGATGTGCGTTAGTTTCTTGTGATCGTCTTGCTAAACACCCAGCATGCGGCGACAGCATTATTGCTTATATGGAATTATTCAAGCCTTTGTGATTAATTTTGACATCGTCACAACCATTGTAAAAATATTAGTTAAAACCGTACTGCCGTATTTTTTTAAATCATTCATCTTAGAAGGTTTGAAAAAGCTTGATGTATTACTTCAACAATCTTTCTGCCCCCGTAGCGTGAGCACCGAAAATTTTAGTTTGACAGTTAATATCGTTAATAACTTTAGCGTTCGGTGTTCATACTAAGCGGGCTGGTGCAGTCGAATAAAAATATAACTATCATGTTTTGAATTTGTGTTCTGCTGAATTAACTTTAAAATTGTTTTCGTACTTATTCTAGTGGTGCCAAACTATCGCCAATATTTTCACTGCTTAAATCAGTGCCATTCATTTAAAACATTTTGTTAAATGTATGAGAAATAACGCTTAATTGAAAATATCTACCCATCACCATTTGCCATCTCTTTTGCTCTTGCCAACTATACTAATTTGTAATGAGGATCCGTAACGATTTTAGTTGAGAATGCAAATTTATAGAGCTAAGGATTCCATTAAATACAGTGGTTAAATTATTGTTCTACTACAAACATTGTCGTTAATATTTGTCCAGCCAGCGGAAAATTTGTTTAGTAATTTGGTCATAACTTCGTAGTTATGACCAAATTACTAAACGAATTTTCTGCTGGCAGCGTGGTGGCTGTGCCGTCACAGAGTTCTAGCGTCTAGAAAGCAATCGCAAATGAGACAATACAGTCTGGCCCTCTCATACTTGCTATCCTAAACGTGCGGGAGAGACAGAATATCTTGCGTTAGTAATTTCGATTCCTCCCATTAATGACACGAGTTATACTTTATATCCTTAGTTAAAAATATCGTAATTTCTCATACAATTGACTTTCGCTGTGAATTGCGTCGTCGCTCGATATAACTAAGTGATTCGACACAGCGTCACCGCTGCCGTCGCCGGTGAAGTCGCCGGCGCGAACGCCCGTCGTGGCGAACAAGGGGCCGTGCTGTACCGCCCTCTACGACTTCGAGCCGGAGAACCAAGGCGAGCTCGGATTCAAGGTAAGAGAAATAAATAAATATTTCTAACATAGACACCAATTGTCCACCAGCCTAGCCCCAAAGTAAGCACTATAAGGCTTGTGTTATGTGACACTAGAGTAACGGATAGAACACATATATTGATACATATATAAGAACATATACTTTTATTAAGAAATACGTTTATATGTATTTCTAAATAAAAGTATTCATCACACAAAAAAATTCCCCACACCGACACCCTGAACACATGTTGATCTTTTCAGTTAAAATTTACTTTTCAATAGTAATAGCATTCCGGTCGGATACAGGCACATAAAAATTTCAATGTACCTAAAACATATTCATAATGGGCACTTCACTTGGCTATACGTGTTTGCTGTTTGTAAACATCAGCCTGTCCTTTGCGTTCCTTATAAATCATGATAAGGATAGACTGTTGTCAAGTTAACAAATAGCAATCTCGAATAGTCCAGTGCATTGCCGTAATTAGATAACTATATTGCGGGCACGAACATGCTATGGTACCACAGAATTTCTAAATTTTGCATTGGCTTTTAAACTTTAACCCTTTAACCCTATCACTAAGGTCTGAAGAACTACTGCGTGTCCTGATATGTAAGATAAAGGTAAGTGTTATAATCCGGAATATATTTTTTTCACGTAGGAAAACGATGTCATCACGCTGATCAGCAAAGTGGACGAGAACTGGTTCGAAGGCTCCGTCAACGGCAAGACCGGCTACTTTCCAATCAGCTATGTTCAGATCACCGTACCCCTGCCCAATATGTAAGACCCACCGTCGACTCATTCACTTATCCCACGTATCTGGTAACGTTATTCTTAAGAAGTATTCTGAAACCCATTGTTTGGATCACCGGCTGAAACGTAAACACTTAGCTAATTATTTATTTTATTTAGTGGTGGTTGATGATTTTTGGGCGCCAGTGGTAGCATAGGCAATGCCGGAGTGATACCCCATGATATCGCTTCTATAAGCTGAGATAACGACTTACCAACAGGCAAGCTATACGCTTATTGCCCATAACATTAATAAAATTGGGCGACCGCTTTTCGTCAGGCGAACTTTGTGCTTTGGTCAGTAAGGTTGAAAATGGACGAGAAAATAAGGTTTCCAAAAAAACTTTATTGTTACTTTTTTAATAACTATATTTTTCAATTTCTATGTAATCTCATTTTTTAGATAATCTGTCATTTGCAATTTGAGTTATGATACTATTACGTTAACTACGCATTACTAGTATTCCTGAAAAAGAAATTCAAAGTTTCAGCAATAATCTTTATAAAATCTTTTGTTAACTTTGCTCAATTTATGTAGTCACTGTTAGACGCTGTGTGTGTAGTAAGTGTTATTCGCTTACCCCCCTTATTAATAAACGAGGACTAAGCTTGGATAAGTTACTCTATGTTTTGTCTCTATTCGTTGAATGACAAATAGCATTTGAGTGATATGAGGCGTAAGTAGTCTTAAGCTTATTGCTTGTTTATTAATAATGGGGATAGTGTGTATGCATGCAACGGACATAATTTCACGGTCGCTAACATGTTATAAACCTATGCCGTGAAGAGAATACTTCTTAAAAATATGTTTCAACATTGTTGTTGTCATCTCGTTACTCAGTATTATGTAGACCATTTTATAATTTGAATCTTATAACTATGTCAGAAGCTCAATGGTATGATTATGAAACCATGTTCAATAAATTACTGATTCCCCTTGTTTTAAAAAGTATTTGTCTTCCGGATTAATTTTTGCTAAGCATCCCAGTCATGTATTATTTACAATTTTATTATTATGATCTCCTAACATTTATTAATGTTTATTTATAATTTGACATGAAATCAGCAGTTTTAGCATTAATCAAATAGTTTATTTTATTTAAGTACTGAATGTTAAATCATATTTCGAAATAAATATTAGGAGATTGATTTAATTAAGGTGATTTGTAAAAAGAATCATGATTTACATTTCAAAATGCATTTATTGCCAAATTGTAAAACATTTTTAGAATAACTATTATCTTATTTATGTTGGCATTTCAAAATGTAACTACCTGGTATTGTTGAAAATATATGTATTGAAATATTAGTGTTGCACAGATTCTGACATTCCTGTTTAATAGCATATCTTACATAAATGTTACCAGTTAATCGAGACAGTAGTCCCTGGATAGTATTCGATCCTATTGATATTGCCATTGAAAAGAAGCGTATTCTTGAAATTTTACAGGCAATGTTGACCTCTATTTACACATGGTAAAGTCCAAAATACAATGACGCTAAAACGGACGACCGATAGCTTTCGTGATAATTGTTATTTTCCTTCCAATCAAAGACTACTTTACTTTGTGAAGGTAAAGGTCAAAACGCTATGCGAAATTTTGAGAATAATTTTCTTATAAATGCATTGTAAAAACAACCTTAATGGCACATGCTAGCTCATACTATTTCTAGTCAGAGTTGGCTTCGGTCATATAGTATCTAAAGGCGCGTACGAACACCAAAAATGGTTATAGGAATAGATAAACCACGCTGAGTAAAATTGAGATTAAATTGTCATGAATAAAATACACTCTGTCCAATGTAAGAGTACCACCGTCGAATGCAATGTGTTAGACCCTAGATGCCCTTCGAAGCAGCATCAATTCAGAAAAGTGATATTTTAACGTAATGTTTTGTAAATTAGTTAAATTTATTGTGGCTCTATTTTTGTAGATACGCTATCGTCTTTGTATAGATTATATCCTTCGTCTTAATAAACAGTTTGTTGTTTCTCTTCGCATCTATGACAGCACAGGAAATGTTTACTAGATAATCGTTGTGTAACTAGTTACATTTAATGAAATTAGATTTTATAGTAATATCTTGCGGGTAATTATTATTTATCTAAATGGAAAAATGTATACAAATATAACTAATAATATACATGTAATAATATGAGGAAATAAAAAGGCGTTGTTGAAGATTTCAATTCAGCCAGAAATTGATGGCGTTTTAATGTTTGATGTATTATTATTGGCAAAATATAATAAATTATTATATTATAATGTCATTGTGATAAAGTTAGAATATCATACTGTTTTTGCAGTATCCTACCGCGTATTAAAATAAGCTTACATTTTTATTTTTTTATTTAATAGTACTTACCTATGTATATGTTATTTTTTCTTTTATTATTTTTAACGCATAATACATGTTAGTCACCGTAAAGATGTTTAATAAATTTAAACAAGCATAATTGATACCAAAAATAAAATGTATTAACTATTTAAATACATGGCATCTACCCATTCAATAGTATTGACAAAAATATTTTAGCGCACTTACGATTTAAGGATGTTTGGTGATCGTATTTCAATTTAACATAAGTCGATGTTCGCAATAATATTTGAAATGTAACTTAATAATTATTAATTAAATATCATCCCATCGTTGTCATAAAGTAAACAGACCCCATTGATCGCGTTTCTGGCATACAAAAGACAATACCTAGATCTAATATTAGGAGTATGTAAGTTCATAAATAATTGTTCTATCTCAAGTGTCTCTTAATGTAAGTATTTTGAGTAAATAATACATTCATCAGTGTTACGAAGGTGTCATGTTTCAATGTATTGATGTACGATGCTTTGATGTGATATTTACTCGAAATGGTAAATGTGTGTCGAGAGCATCACAATGTTGCTATTTTCTCAATATTACATTACGAATATCATAAATAAAAGATAGAGACTGTTGTTATTATGTATGTATAAAAAACGTTCATACGAATTGTGGAAAGTTGGGAGTGACTTTTTAACAAGAGAACAACAAAGTTTTTGGTCACCCTTTGGTGTTAATTACGTAGGTAGAGTTTACATAACGAGTGATGTGGAGACGTTTCGCTTTGGTGTCCATATACAAGCAGTCTACCTACATTAATCAATATAAATATTTTTAGTCGGAATCCCATTCGGGCGGATGTACGCAAGTTCATTCATAGGGGGAAATTATAATAATTTCCGTAATATAAAATATAATTACTGTTTTTAGAGATAAAATTAATTCTATCTACTTTATCATTAATGAAATTATAAAATTAAATTATTAAAAGTTGGTATTTTATTCCAATAAATTCAGATGATAACAATAGTCGATGCAAATCCGAATGAACGTGAATCCGGCAAAAAATAAAATCAATGGGTGAACTGGTGCAATGTTTCCCTATGCCATCCTAGTACTTCCTGTATAAAATAGCAAAGCTGCTGTCAAATGATCCTAAGATGTAAAGTAGCGTCGCTATAGCGGCTCAGAAACACATTGCTATTGCTGCAAACTCACCAGTTGTGGTGTATTATTCTTGTTCATGTTACTGTAATCATTAAATACTGTAATTTCATAGAAGTAAAACTTGAAGATTTACGTGATAATAATACAAATACTATTGATTTGTATTAAAAATTTATCCCAAAAACTTATTGCTCGTTTTCGCCTCCTAATAAAATGTTAACAATTTAAAACTGCATTTTTATTACTTTGATCACCATACTATTTTATTTATGTTATGAATACCCCGCCGGCCAGTAACGTGGAACGCCTCTCCTTTCCTTCTCCCGCTCAAACAGTCCAAAGGATTGGCTCCTCGGCTGCGCGGGAGCAGGGCTCTACCATGGTATAATAATTTCCTTATAATAAATAAATAAAATCCTTACTATTTTAGGGGATCAAATACTATATTTCTAAAAATTATATATAGTAGGCGAAACTACTATATTTTGCTTAAAACAGACTTTGGGCAGTAAAAGCTATGTTAAAAAAAATTAGGCGTAGAGCAGCAAAAACATATTCATTACAGAAATATAGTAAAATATTTAAACCACATAAGTACTATATTTTTTTCCAGTTTTTTGCCTTCTATTATATTTTTAGAAGTATCAGCTTCGAAAATACTATATTTAAGAGAAAAAAAGTTGGTAACCCTAGTTGGGATTGTTCCGGGGTATTGTAAGTAACGATACTCGATCACGAAAAATCGGCTGAAATGATCTGGATGAAATTGTACACACAGGCACTATAACCTGATATTTTTATCCAGGTAAAACATGAAGTTTACATATTTTATGTGAGAAAACAGGATTCTATATTTTTTTTACCATGTGTGCGTAATTTCGTCAAAATCCATTCAGCAGTTTTTGCGCGATTGAGTAACAAAAATACAGTTTCCTCGTAATTATAGCTGCAGTTGCATAGAGTATACTAGTATAGTTGCTACTGCCATCGGCCTCGAGCCGCTCGTGTATATGTCGCCTTATGTTCAATTCATACTAGCGCAGTGGCGAATTTTAGAAAACGTAACAACAAATTCGCCACTATCTCCGCAACTTACTGCTGTTTTAGAAGTGAAAACTTCTTTAGCACCGTTGTGATTTGAGATGCGATGAAACATAACTAGAGTATTTTGACACAAAATAGGTACCTATCCGTAATTTTTCGGTCCCCTTTACCCATAGAGAAAAGTAATATTTTACCATACGAGACGGATAGTCAAACGGTAAAGATCACGGGGTCGAAACCAACTGATCGGTGGTTCGATCCTGATCTCGGTAATTTTTTTCAATTGTTTTTATTATTTATTTATCCATTCTTCTTCTTCTTCTTCTTTTATGATGGCTTGCGTTGTGACTTAGCACAGCTCCGCCAATGTCAAGTGATTAGCCATTACACGTAAGGGAATGACAGTTAAAAATCAGAATTTTGTTTACCTATTTTATAAGCACTTTTACCTGTAAAGAAAAACGTCACAATTAGGACAACACAAACATAAAACAAGTAAAGCAGGGAGCTTTGTTATAATCTTAGTTTGTTAAGGGAAATAAATTTGGCCAAGAGCTTGAGGGTTGGGTAATCACATAAACATAGTAGGACTTTCATGCTTATAGGACGTGGAATAGTGGGAGGTAAAATGTCATAGAGAGAGATGTTTAATTTGGGGCAGTTAAAGAAAAGATGATCCACTGTACCATCCTCGGTTCCACAATCACATGTGGGGCTGTCACGTATTTTTAACCTGGCCAAGTGAACAGGGGTAGTGGCGTGACCTATCCTTAATCTACAAATTGTAGAGACCACTTTTTTATTAAGATTTTTCATCTTGAAAAACCATGGTTTGGATGGAATATTTTGCTGTATATCGAAGTAGTATTTACCGACACGATTCTTAGTCTGTAGCCAGTGAGTTTCCCATGATTTAAATAAAAGCTCGCGCGTTACGGAATATAAGTCCTGGTAGAAGACTCTGGAGTATTTCGGGAGGCCAGAAGAAATGGCGTGTTTAGCACAAGTATCCGCAGTTTCGTTGCCAGGAATACCATTATGCCCAGGGATCCAGGCTAGGGCTACGTTTGTTCCTTTTAGGTGGCATCTCAACAATGCTTCCCTAATTTTTAATACAATAGGGAATTTAGATTTAGACCGAAATTGGTTTGAATTTATGGCTTGTAAACAGCTTTGGGAGTCAGTAAAAATAAGTGAGTTATTCAGACTGTGAGACTCTATAAATAAAACAGCTTCCAGGATAGCAATAGCTTCACCGGTAAATACTGAGGCTAGTGGAGGCAATTTTAAACTCAATATTATTTTGTGTGCTGGAAACCATACTGCAGCTCCAATGGATCCTTTATCGTGTAGTCTAGCAGCATCTGTGTATAATGGAGTCCAATTTTGCCAGTGAGTTGAGAGGTTGTTAAAGAATGTCTGAACGGCAGTTGGGGAATCTTTCTCTGCACCGAA